AAAATCAGCTTCTTTGCTTAAGACGTTCATCCCAGCATTGGTGGGGGGGCTGATTTTTTTTGGGAAAGGAGCACGTGATATGTGAGTAAATACGGTCTATGAAAATTGCTATTATGTCTCCTCCCTTATTTTTTCTCCTTTAGCTTGCATTCCACCCATTTGCTTGTCTCTTGAGTTTTCACATTCATCATAAGATTTAGTGCTAAAAACTGCTGTGCTGTTCCCACTGAGGGTCAACCAATGCCAAAGAGAGTGGTATCTTTTGCTTACAAGACTTGTATTCATTCAGCGCAAAATTGCATTTGCAATTTACAGCATCCCATGGATGCATTTGTGATCCACTATAACACCCGGGTCTTACTTGACAATGTTGTTCCAATCTACTCTCCATTCTGCATTTGTGCTTTTTTCTTTCCTGGTATTTGTCTTTGTTGGACTTCAGTGCTGTTTTTATGGTTCAGTTCTTCAGTCTAGAAAGGCCATTTTAGAAAGGCTAATTTTTATTCCATAAAAGCCAAATGTAATCCTATCCCACTGCATGTCTACAGAATTGACCAGTTTTGTGTTTTCTGCAGATTCAGTTGGTATGCTCCATCCCTACCTACATGTTTATAAATAAAAATGTTTATTACCTGTGGACCTAGAACAGATCTTTTGGACTCCACTTCTAGACCTCCTTCTAGTCTGACATAGAGTCATTTTACATTTATTCCTCTTCTGATTTTTAACCTATTATGTAGCCACCTAATATTCTATCTATCCCTTGTTTCCCTAATCTACTTATGAAAATGGCAGATGCGACTGTCAGAGCACACTAATGTCCAGGTATTTTGTGTCCTCCACATTTCCGTTACCCACAAAGTAATTTTCCTTGTCACAGCAGGAAAGGAAATGAAGTTGTTTTGGTACTGTTTATTCTTAAATCCATGTTGAGTGCTAATGATTACCCCATTGTTCTCTAGATGTTTACAATTTGACTTGCATAATTTCATACAGTAATTACCAATGTGTTCAAGTCAGGGTGGAATATCTATAGTTTTCTGGGTTTTCCTTTCTGTTTTCAAAAGTTGTATCCTATGGTAGCTCTTCTCTTGTCCTCTGGGACCTCACCGGTCAACTTGAATTAAAAAATGTTGCCACTGGCTTTGAGTTTTCTTTGCCCAGTTTTTCAAGCTCCCTGGATTGCACTCCATGACTCGCTTCTGACTTAAAATCATTCAAATTAGTCCAAAGTTTTCTGACACACTTTGCTAATCAACAGAGATTCAGGTTTTCTCCAATTTAAAAAAAAAATCCCCAATTTTTGGTTTAAAAAAAAGTAACCTCAAATCCACGTTTTTCCATGATTTAAAATGAAATGCCACTATATAGATATTGGTGGTGTTTCATTTTAATCATGGAAAAATGTGGATTTGGGGTTACTTTTTTAAAACTGAAAATTGGGGATTTTTTCAAATTGGAGAAAACCAGGATCCCTGCTAATCATCCACATCCGTTCCCATTCGTTCTTGAATATTATTTCTGGCAGCTGTTTGATTGTGAGTTTTTATGAAGCCTCAAGCAACTTAGGCAGATGTTAAAAGTATTTGGCCATGAAAATCAACAACCTATAAAATTGTGCATAGATTTAAGCTGGTATTTATCCCATTGCTTTTGAGAAACTACTATATAGAAGAAGATGAGTTCATCAGAATTTTTTTTCCCCTCAACATTTAAAATTACTTGAATTAACAGTTTTTTCATTAAAAGCACAGCTGTTCTGTGAACAGGCTCTCATTATAAGCACATTATATTCTGTTCAGTCTTCTATAGAGAACTTACACATTGTGTTAAATCTAACAGTGAAGAAAAATGTTTTTTTCATGTAAGAGTTGAAATATATTAATTTAACACTTTGAAGTTCTCATACAAATTCTGACACTTAGCTTGCTTGCTAAAATTGTTTATGATAGTAAAGTTTTGAGCTTAATTTTGTTGGTTGTTTGGTTTAAATCTAGATGATTTCAGTTGCCAAGCGGAAATGTTTGATCTAAACCATCTTTTTTTAATCAGCTTTTCCACTTGTACTTCATAGCTTACATAGGGAAAAATCCATAAATCAGAAGCTCTAAAATGGGGGTCAGCAACCTTTTAGGGCAGTGGGCTGCTGTTTGTAACCCAGCTGCAGGCTGCTACCCACTCCTGAGTGCCTAGGCTACCTACTACAACGTCCACTGCACACCACCATCAAGCACTTTGCAGGCCATATTTGGCCTCTGGGCTCTAGGGAAATCATTACATGTTCTCTAGGGTTGTGGGAGAGGAGAGGGTGCTTGTAATTACAGCATCACTTGGGAGCCACTCTAATTTAAAGCACATGCAGTGTCTCATGTATTCAGTGTCCTGTGCTTAAATGGTGGCAGGGGCACTTTAAAACTCGTTTGACAAGCTTTAGTTAAAGCACCCCCACTGCCATTTTGAAGCATGGGGACGCTGAATACACAGGACCCGGAGGCTGCTGGAGCATGCTAATTAACATGCTCCAGTGGACTCAGTTAATAATCTGCTCTAATGTGTTCTCATTTGCGCACATCAGAGTGGCATTGTGCACATGTATAGGTGTCCTAGGTTGCTAACCTCTGACGAAGATGGATTCTGTGAATGATCCTGGTGGTTCTTATGGGAGTCAGACATGATCCTAATACTTGCAATGGTTTTGCCGGTCTCTTACACCTAGTAGTCCAATTCTTGAGTCCCCTAGAAGATCAAGCATTTAATATTTGACCTGCTTTGCCAGATTTATAAAACTTGACCTCAGAGGTTAATATTTTATCCCATTTCTTTCTATAGCACACTTCAGCGTGTAGTTTAGTTTTTTGAAATAAGTTAATTGATTCATTAAAGTGAATTGGATAATTTTTGTTTAAATATTTTAAGAGCTTACAAGTCCCTACTGTATATTTTGTATTACATTCAGATTTCATTTTAAATGAGTTTCTTTTTAAAAATAAAGCAGATAGTTTAAAAAAATAAAACCCCAAGACATGGTTTTAAAATGTCAACATCGTTGTCGTCATCATCAATCACCCTAGAGCTTGAAGTTTACTTCTAGCATGACTAAAATGCATTGTTTTTCCCTTTTAAAATATGTTACGTTTTGGTTAGCTCAAAATGTATTATCTCCTGTGCAATAGTATGGCAGCTGCGGTCAGCTGAAGTGTTCAGAGCTTTCAGGGAAGGTATCCTCAGCTTTGCAAATATTTCTCCCTGCCGTTCTTAATAGATTGTCAGAAGCTGAACTGGTTGACCTTCACATCTTGCTGCAAGTGGTTGCCCCACCTCCCTTGGCGCTCATCTGGGAAAACAGCTTGACTGATTTGTCTTAGATGTTAGTATTTAATAAAAGTTGGTTTTGTGGGGATTTCATATTTGGGCCATTATTTCTAATTTATAAGTTTTTGCCTTATTACCAAGAATAAAGCTATTCTACAGCTTGTACAGCTGTATAATATAAGTGGGGCTCTGTTCTGAGGAAAAGATCCTGGAGGTGTTAGGGGTAACTGAATCTATTTAGTTTCCCTCAGTGGACTGCAAGAGTTTTATAAAGACTGACAAATACTGATGTTATGTAACAGTGATAGAGCTGTAGTTTGAGGCTTTGTGTTAATCCCTAGAACAAGACATTTGCCTTGTAAATTATTTCATACAGTCCTAATAATAGAATGTCATATGTGGTGGAAGGTGATCAGTGTGTTTTTGTTTTTGTTTTTTTTAATCCTATCCCATTCGATTGAAATGATACATTGACAGTGAAAATAAATACTGCTTCTGTGATGTCATCCACTTATGCAGCTCATCTCTGCATGATTTAAGACCAATTTTGTATTCTTTAAATTTAAAAAAAGGATAAAATTCCTTGTAAATAGTGTTTACAGATGTGCAAGCTAAGGGTGATTCAAAGGAAAATGAACATGAGCCTCATGCTTCAAGGAATAAAGTGAGTCGAGTATGGGGACTGGTATATGGTAGTTGAATTAAAACATTGCCTTCAAGGCAATTGATGGAGGAACTCTCCGTACACAAGTTTTAATTGCTCTGTGAATCTGTAACATGAGGGTTGACTGGAGTACACTTTAGAGGGTAAGTGCTGAAGCTCTGGCACTTACTGAACAGAACAGTAGGCTTGTGTCCACTACTTGGTTGGGATACAGGAGTCTTGGGTTAAAATTCCTATTCACCTGCATATAACTTGTATTGCCTTGAACAAGTTATGTAATCTACCCAACAATCTGAAACATAGGTGCCAATATGAAGAATAAAAGCCATTTGTAGTTGTGATGCGCTTAGATGTGAAAACAGGGTATGTCGCTTATGAACTGATGATCTGATTTGAAGGTGTGTGTTCAGGGTAGCTGACAGATGCAGAAAGAGAGAAGTGAACAGGTAGAGTCAGAAGAATAGAAGAGGGTAGAAAAAGTCTATTGTGTTTGAATAGTTGTCATGGAGAAGAAGGGTGAGGTACTCCTTTTGGCGGGGGTAAGTGGAGGCATTTGGAAATCTAGTGGGAGAAGTAAAGGGCTAAATATTTTGACTTGTGGTAGGTAGGGTATGTTGCAAAATCAAAGGGATGGAACAGCTGGTGTCACAATGTCATTATACAGGAAAATGCCTGAAGAGTATATGGCAGTAATAACTTAATCCTCTTTCCTTCCTTTTTAGTATCTCAGTTTAATTCCAAATCAACTCCGTTATTTATCTGTAGTTACTGGAGCTTTATCACTACCCTAATGGGTCCTAGGAATCTAGTATTGAAAACCCATAATTAGTTTTTGTTTTAAATGGCGACTGATGAACTCAGTGCTTAGTTATTGGTACACAGATATTTTGTATATTATTAAAATTAGAACCAAGTAATTTATTGTACTGATGGTTTGAATATTGTTCACACTACCTGGACACTTTTATCATTCCCCAATTCTTCTAGCCAGCATAATTTATTAAGGTATCTTTGATTATTTTAGAGGTGTGTTTGATGCTTCTCTCAAAATGGCTGGGTTCTATGGACTGTACACCTGGCTGACTCACACCATATTTGGAATCAATATTGTCTTCATTCCATCAGGTAGGTAAGAATGCACACATATTCATTGTCAGACAATAGCAATATAATTGTATTGTAATTAATTATTAATTAACCCTAATTATTTATATGAATATTAATAATGTTGCAATATCAAGCACTTGAAAGTTAGGAAATGTTATAATTGGGCTTGCTTCTGCGACTTCTTTTGCCTTGTGCTAATAAAAGCAGCACAGTCTTTGCTTGTTCTCATACTGTTCTTTTCCACAGAATCCCTGCTTCATTCATTATAAAGGATCTAGATGATGTTCGTTTAGGGACATAGTTTAGAGGGTTCTTTTTCATCTGTTGTTCAATATGTGGTCCCCATTCCACTTGAGCTACGTATTATTTAAACCCTGCTCTGAACACAGGCTGAAAGGTGGTCTTATCCTCCAGTTAAGCTCCAGTTATGGTTAGGGTCAAAAGTTGCTGCTATCTTTTGTATGCAACTTGAGATACCTAGCACCAGATTTTTCCAGAGTACTTTTACATAACACTTTTTCTTCAAACGCTTATTTGTATTCACTTCAGTTGCAGTGGTGAGTGCTCATGAAAGCCAGACATATGGTGTTTTAAGTTGGGCACCAAGAAAATGGGAACATCACATACATTGGCCACTAAAGAGATTTTTTATTTAAACCACTTGCCTCACATCTGTAGCAAAGGCAAAAATAGAATCCAGTTTGCAAAGAGTAGTATCCAGCTGTTTTAACTAGGTGACCTCTGTTTTCTTCCATCTGATTTGCTGTACACCTTCTGGCATTTACAACAGATGTCACACAGAGCATTTTTGCACATATTCTGTGGGTGGGACAGGTGGCGCTTTAATTAGAGCGGCTCCAAGAGCTGCTGTAATTAAAGCACCGACAATGTCTTGTGTATCAGCATCTCCACACTTCAAAATGGCAGTGGGGGTGCCTTAACTAAAGTGTGTTGAAACAAGCTTTAGTTAAAACACCCCTGCTGCCATTTTGAAGCATGGAGACACTGATACATGAGATATGGATGCGGAGGCTGCTGGAGCACACTCATTAGCATGCTCCATTAGACTGTTTTAATTGAGTCTTCTCTGATGCACTGTAATTACAGTGCATCGGAGTAGCTTTCCCACACATCTACAGGCACCATAGGTCCTACAGAAAATCAGTTCCTTAGGCAATAGCACCCTAATTCATCTCCAGATCTGATCTCTCTCGTGAGCGCTGACTTATAAATAGAGGTCCTTCAGCAAAAATAGTGTGCGATTGTGTGAAGACTAGGATATGCACAAGGTAGTCAAATTTAAAGTTTCACAGGCAATATTAAACTCTGGCATTCCTATCTCCAGAGTTTTTATTTTTCAACCTTAACTACCTTGTAATGCAGGTTTTATACAATTTATTGGGGGCAGGGTGGGAGGGAGTTGGTTTACTTGTTTAAAAAAACCCCCAAAACCAAAACAAAATGAGTTGTTCCAGAAAAGAAGTTATCAGTGTGCACTTTACCATGGACAGAACTTTTTCACCTAATGTAATTTTTGAAAATGACTAAGGAATTTTGACTGAAATCCCTCCTGCTCCCTCCACATCTAAAAATAAGCATTAGGTTCATTTCTGTGAAACTTTCACACACAACTAAAGTTCGTAAGCAACTGAAAGTTTCTTGTAAGGGGAAGTGTTGGTTAACCTTAATAGATTATGCATCTGGGCCTACCTATAATATATATTCAGATTTTTAAAGAACCCCCACTATGCTGGTCACAAATTAATTAATGCACAAATCAAAGTATCTGTGTTTTGATTTAACAAAACCATTGCTCCTGCTTACTGACTTCATTCATTTTGATTTTGCAACCAGTCACCCTTCAGTAAATTGTAATAATATAGGTGCTTCTACTATGTTATATCAGGTAAGCCATAATGTCTTACAGAGGCTGTTTATAAAACAAAAAAATATATTTTTAGTGTGGAGGAAATACCAGAAATGCATGTTGTTTAATTTTTTAAAATGCTCACCTGTGTTTGGGAATTGCTCATTTTTGGCATCTCATTGTTCTCTGTATGGAATAAAAATGTAAATTGTTAGAATTTTGAAAGTGGTTAGCTCTTCTTTTATTAAACTGCAGCAGTGAATTCCTTGAAGAGCCTAATCTACCATCTATATTTCTGGTTTCTTACTTAAAGTAGTCCTGTTGATTTTTAAATGGGACTTTTTGTGCAGTAAAATTAGCAGAACCTTACCCCAAGTATGCTTGTAAAACTTAAGTTTTCTAATCTCGGCTTTCTAACTTCCTGTACATGATGTACTACTACAGCTTTAGCAGCAATCCTTGGAGCTGTACCATTTCTGGGGACATACTGGGCAGCAGTACCTGCAGTTCTAGATCTGTGGCTCGTCCAAGGAGAAGGCTGCAAAGCCATTTTGCTCTTGGTTTTTCACTTGTTGCCAACGTATTTTGTAGACACGGCAATCTACTCTGATATATCCGGGTAAGTGTGTACCTGAAGACTAGAGTATTTTTTTAATATTGGCATTATATCCTTGCTTAATTGCATTTTTCTAAATCCTACAAGAACAAGCTTGATGAAATCATGTAATACCCAACAGTAAATCTTGTCCAAATGGTCAGGACAGCCACAGGAATTTCTTCTCCAGTCAGACAGGAGCCGTCTGGGCTAAATTGGCCTTGAAAATGAGGAAAGTCTGGTTTTAATTTTGATTAGGCCTAGAAGCAAATCTAGGAGTACAGAAATTTCTGTACTGTATTAGGCAAAAGAATAATCCAGTCCAATATCTTCATTCTGAGAGTGACCCAATACCTGACACTTCAGAAACTTCGGGGAACCCAGTAATGGTAGGACATTATGGCTTGACTAGTCCATGATGAAAGCATTTTGGTGTCAAATTCCCCTTTTATGGGTTCTCTTCACAGAGACTCTTAGCCCAGTATTGGGATTGGCCTCGGAGTTTTAAGTTTGGCTTATTAGAATGTGGTTAGGAGAACATTAGATAGACTGTTCATTTCCATTCTGTAGATAGATGGGGTTTGCCATAATCTTAATCACTGGTCTTGTTCAACCGGTCCATTTACTGATACTAGGCAGAGAGAACTGTTGCTGAGAATATATACGGTGTTAATAAGTTTCTTAGGAGATTGTTAAACTGGTTGCTTTACTGAGAAATTTGGGCCAATAAGTGCAGTATAAAAAACTCATAAATGATTATTGGAAAAATATTTTAATGATTTTAGGGGCAGTGACCATTTGAAGCCAGTAATTTAATTTTTCCACTTAGCTGTTAGACTGCTTTGTTTCATCTGTATGAGCTGACTGTTTACTGTCCATGAAATAAATTTACTTGCAAGAGAGAAACTGTATACTTCCCATTAAATAAAGCAGTACACATCCAGCTGTCTTGTTGGTTGGATTAACTCTATTTGGAAGAGCTGTAATTAGGTTATGGAAGGATTTTGAACTGTATTAAAACTGATATTGAAGTTATATTCCAACATGTCATTTGCTGTGGCAGCTGCCTATAACTTAATAGCTTGGACCACAACATTGTAATTGACAGTTGCAGAAAATAAGTACAAAGAGTTAAATTAGGAAACCGTCACCACTTCATTTTCAATTAGAAGCACAAAAGGTAGGAGTAAAATCTTTTGTTTTGTCTGTGTCCCACTCTCTCAAAACTAAACTTACCTCTCTTCCCCCAGCTGTTTTATTAGGCCTCATTTGGGTCACAAATGAAATGGGTTTGTAATGCATACATCACAAAATCATGACGTATTTTGTGTTAGCCCCATGCAATAGTAACAAAAGCCAGGGATAGAAGAGTGGAGGTGGTAATTTCAGGACTGTGTTATGTAAAAGATGGTGCAGAACTCTGGCCAACCAGTGTGTTTATTCCTTCTCTAGAAACAGATACAACTTCCAGTAACGTGTACTAATTTAAAGTTATTAGCTTTCCCACACAATTCTATATGTATTGTCGTCATGTTATTTTAAAGTAAGTAGTGTGTGTAAGGTTCACCTTTTAGCCTCTCAATTAGGGAGATTTTAGTTTTGATCTTCAGAAATGGAACACAGGCCAGAAACTGAATATTGCTATTAGTGTCTTTTAGATCACTGTCTATTAACATTTTTAATTAAAAGCAAAGTCTGAATTAGTGATGTTCAACCTACAGCCTGTGTACTGAATCCAGGCTGTGAAGTCATGTTAGCCAGCCTTTGGTGCCCACTAACCAGCCCAGAAAATTTTGGATGTAGGAAAGCAGTGGCAGAATCTCATCCGCAGTGGTGTGGAAGCAATGGCAGTGTTAATTGCCCTGGCTTCCAGAGCCATGATGATTTAACATGACCACTGCTCCCCTGCTGCCAAATGGTGGACCTGTAAGGAGCTCTATGGACCATATGATGTGGCTCCACATGCCAGATTGGGCCAGGGTTGGATCTATCATACTGGGGCATAGGTTGAACATCACTTGTTTAACACTTCAAAAACTTTTGCTAAGAGTTTGAGATGGTAGAAAAATGCTTTATTTAAACATTTGTTTTTGAGATATGTAAAACATTTATTCCTGCATCTCTTTATTATTGACAAAATGTTAATTACATTAATGTATTGGTACTGAAATGTTGTATGAAGAGAAATGGTGATCAGCTGTCTTGTATTTTAAAATTTTTTTTACAAAGAAAATATTTTATGAATGCCCATTAGCTTTTTGTTCTCAAATGTTAAGTTTAACTAGAATGAACTCTTGAGGGCAGGGATTATTCTTGAATATTTTGAATGTTTTATCATATCATAAACACTACGAAAAATGCTAAATATAAGTAGAATGATTATACTTTTTTGCATCATAAATATCTAATAATAGTTACAAACATATTAAATGTTTTGTCATCAATCCATGTTTTTACAATATCATATTTACCTAAATCCAAGATGATCCTGAATTTAAAATACCCCTCCCCCCAGTAATTAGATTCTATACATGGAAATTAGAACAAAATGTATAAACTTGTTCTAATATTCCACATGTAGAATCTAATTATTGAAAGACCGTCTTAGTTTTCCCCACTGCCACTGCAGTAGGGAAAGCAGTGGTAATAGGGCAAACAGTAGTGGGGAAGGCAGTAAGAAGGCAGGTGATGGGCTGGTGGGGAGGGAGAGGTGACAGGCAGCTTGCTGCATTCTACCTGTCCACCTCCCAGCACACTTACCCTCCTTGTGCCTGCTCCCTGCTTACCCTTAGTCCATACCACAGACCCTGCCCCTGTTCCAGCCTGGGGCATGGAACATAGCCCCAGCTCAGCCCTGTAGCAGCAATTCTCTCTCTATGCCACTGCTATGGGGTGGGCTGGGGGCATGCTCTGTGCCTCGGGCTGCACCAGGGACATAGCCTGCTGGAGCAAGCAGTAGGAGGAAGGTTGAACAGGGGGGCTAAGGCTGCAAGCGAGAGATGGTGGGGAGAAAACCAAGGATGCAGCAGGGAGAGTGGTGGGGGATGCAGGGGTGGGGTGAGCGTCAGGCAGCAGCTGCAGCTCTGGCCCCAACCCAGGGTGGGGTCAGAGTTGGAGCCACAGCAGCTGCCTGTCCCACTACCACTTCATATTTGAATCCAAGATGAAGGGTGTTTTGCCCCAGTGTTAAATGAGGGGGGGAACTATCTTGAAATCAGGTAAATACAGTAATAATGGCACATCATATAAGATGGTTCTCTAGCATTGTTTTTTTTAATTGGCGTACACATACTGTTGTGGATATGTGGCAGACTTCTAGAGGTGTGTAAGAGGTAGGGATTGGAAATCAAGAAGGGGAAGAAAAAATATAAATAATGGAAATAAAAGAAAAATATAACTTCTCTATGATTTTTTTTTAGATTGTCTGAGAGGTTACAGTGTTATAGTGACATAAAGTGTTACATTTCTTTGTTTATCCATAACGTGCAGTCATACAGAAATGCAACCCAAAAGAATAGTTTGGGAACCACTTTTATGTAGTCATTTTGCACTCCTTTGTATTGTATTTCCAGAGGTGGCCATCCTTACCTGACAGGTCTCGCAGTAGCTGGTGGAGCATATTACCTGGGATTGGAAGGGGCAATTATTGGACCCATACTTCTTTGTATCCTTGTGGTTGCCTCCAACATATACAGTGCCATATTAGTGAGTCCGACAAATTCAGTGCCCACCCCATCACAAACGCCATGGCCTTTGCAGATATACTGGTAAGTAGAAAAATAAAGTGTTGTTGAATATGTCACAGTGTTGTACCTACTGTGCATGCAGTATGTTGAAAAGCAAGTGTAATCTTTATCAGGGGACAAGGCAATATGCCATGCTTATTGTAAGTGCAAATGCATTAAAACATCACTCTTGCTCTCAGCTCTTGCACTCGCACTCACTTCTGCCGACACTAAGATGTTACCAGTCTTTTAGTTGCTCGAGTCAGCTTATTGGGCGGCTAAGATGAACCTAAGGAGGGATCCGGGCCTCTGTTGGATATGTACTGATGCTCTGTTGTTGTTGTGTAAAAGTACCCAACACTTCTTTATTCTCACCCATCTTTTATAGTAGCTGTTTCCCATGTAGGTCTACAGCCTCACTGTGTCATGGTGTTTACATGGCAGCTGCACACCTTCAGTTCCTTTGATTGAATCATGCATGATTTGTTCAGACCCATTGTTCCTGTTTTGATCAGGCTTGTCGTTTCTACTTCGGGCAAATTCTTCTTTGTTTTGGGTTTATCTGCAATCTTCAGCCATTGGAACAGGAGGTTACTGCAGCCTTTGGTCGTTGAAACTTTGACCATTGAAACAGAAGGTCATCTCTTCCTTTCACATGCAAACTATATTTAAACAAAAAACCTAACAAAATGGTGTTACACTTACACCAAGCAATATAAAAATAAGATGGAGTCTAGCTTAGGCTAAGCCATACAAAAGCTAAGCTAAATAATACATATAATCAAAATAAAATAGATGCAAGTTTGTTTTACCTTAAGCAAAATAATACAAAAGTAAAATGGATAGAAGTTAATTTAAAAGAAAATTAGTCTAGGCCTGACAATAGGCAGTTTGAATAAATATCCATATATAGGGGACACTAGGCCATGTATTTTGTGAAAAGTTGGAGAGTAATTGACTGCCTTGTAATGCACTAGAAACAAAAAATAGTATGGAAAAAATAATACTATGTTACTTGGTTGCCCAAGTTCGTGTATACAGAATATGCTTTTCTTTCATCTATTTTTTTTTTTTAAAGGCTGATTTTAAAAAATAGCATATTCTGTATTACAGAATGCTTTAAGGATTGAAGGAAGCATGTGGAACTCCTGATATGCCAGATTTCTGATTCACATAAAGGATGCCCAGAATCCATTGTAATGGATGTTATCATATCTTGATATCCTGTGATTAGTGTATATTTGCCTTTGTGTAATACACTTCTTTTATATTTTGGAGATGACTGTGATGACCTGTTTATGTGCATCTGATGGCCATCAGCCTTAGTGATGGTAATCTGTGTGCCAGTAATATAGTCAAATGTCTCATGGTACAGTATTTTGGGGATCTGTTGGACCCAACATTTGAGGGCATAAACTTTTACATTATTCCTTAAAAAATGTTTTAGACTTGCTTTGTCATTTCTGTACCTTCAATAAAAATACATTTAAAATCATACACTAAAGTATAGGAAGCCAGTATGAGTAGGCCTGCAATTAAATAAATATTGAAAACATCTATGAAGATAGTCATTGTGCTTCTATGTTCACTTAAGTATGCTTACAACATAAGGCTAGCCTTGGAAGGGTTTTACTAAGCTGTTTACAGGATTTTGGAAGTGTATAATTATCCAAGAAGGATGTTTACTGCTAATGTTTCGTGCCAAGTACAGCGGGTAATTAGAATTCACTCTTCCAGCTTAGTTATGACCACTGAACTTCAGCTCACTTAAGGAAGTCAGTAAGTGCCTCAGATGTAGTTTTCAAAGTAATTCAGAAAAAATCTGATTGTCACCCTCAATGATAAAAATAATGTAAAAAGATGTGGGTGCATTTAGTGTTTGCAAGCTAGAATCCTGTGCTCTACTTCAGTGAGTAATACAAATGGCTCCATTGGAAGAGAAAGACAAGGTTCTCTGGGTAGATGTGATATTTTTTATTAGACCAACTAAATAGTTGGAAAAATTGTTCTTTGCAAGGTTTCAGGCACAAACGCCCTTCTTCAGGCCCAGGGAGAGTTTTTGTTGGGGTAGTTCACATAAATAGAAGCAGATTGTGCCCCAGGTTAAATTTATGTATAGCAATAATCTAGTAATTTCAATTATCAAATGTGAATAGACGCACAATATGTGATAATTTTGCAACTATATATTTTCTCTTCCATTTTCCTTTTGTGAAAAACTGTTTGCTCTTCCTCAGCAAGCAAATATTTTCTTTCAGGTCATCTAGAGAGAGTCCTGAGGAAGTGAAAATGACTGCAGAATGATTTTGACGCCAGGATGTACCTATTCAGTATGAAGTAGTTGTTCTCTTCTGCGTTGAGGTTGGAACAGTTGTGGCCTTCTTTCTCTTCCAGCTGTGCCTAGGAACAGCTCAGTGAAGCACAATTTTTTTTTTCTTTTTTTTTTAAACCTTCTAACATCTGCTGGCCTTGCATTATTAAGCACTTTATCTTTACAAGAGAGAACGTCTACTTCCCATTGCTTTGCATATTACCATGCAGATTTAGAGTTCAGATGCCTTGTTTGTAGACTTTTTTTCTTCAGAAAACACCTTGTGAAAGAAGTATATCCACTGGAGTTGGGTTGTGATCTGCTGAAGTGACTAACTAGGTATTTATTTTTTTGGTTATTTGTATTATTAACTTTTAGTAGCTTTGAACAGAAGCTATGTTCCAAACCTTTCGTCACTGGTATCTTTAGCTAATCTAAGAGTGTATTTCCTTAGAAACATTGAAACCTTTTAATAGAGTAAAGCACTAATTATCTGTTGCTTCTCAGCACATTTTTGACCATCTTTCACTTCATAGAAGATCAAACTTAGCGTGCTTTATAAGCTGACAATGTTAATGTCACCGAGTGGTGCTTCCAACCTGCCTAAAACTTAACAAGACTTGTGATTTGTGTCAAGTAAGAGTTATCCACATGCAGCGTAGGAATGTTTGTTCAAACAATTTAATCCTTGGGTTAACTTTTGAAGTAGAATATTATCAAGTGTTGCTCTTTAGCTTACAACTTAAACCAGTGCACCAGGGTCTCAATAGGAAGATGTTTCCTGTGGATTCTTGTCTGCTTGACCAAATGTAATGAAAGGACTTACGGTAGAGATGAAAGAAGGCTACGTGTCTGCTTGCAGTGATTGAAAGAGGCTGAATGGTGAATGTTTTCACACTGTATTTTTCAAATATTTTAATTTTGTGTTTGTTTATTGGGGAAGTAGTGAGCAACAAGGGAGGTTAGAATTTTAAAATAAATCTCTGTCTAAATATCCTGGTAAAATAGGTAGAGATCTGAAATTCTTTAAGATGTGGTATTATTGAGATTTGAGAATCAGGACAGTGCACTATTGTTTTTCCCTAACCTATCATTCTTCTTGGATTGGAGTTTGTGGCACCTCTGGTTTTTCATATATAGGTGCTAATGCAGGCTTGAATTCGTGCATTGTTTCCACCAGAAAAAAATGGAGGTTTGTTCTGTAAAATGTCTTATGGTCTAAAGAGACATATCCTACAAACTAAATTTCCTCCACCTATTGTTTAGTTAACACTCCTCTGATCAACAGGACCCAGGACAAATGATCAGCTTTATTTTTAGCTAGATCATATCTATTCAATTCCTGACTGAATCACCTTAAAATTTATGGCAGGGTTTCTTTATTCTTAAGTTATACAGTGTAGCACATGGCATATATATTACATTGTAATGCCGAATACCAGTACACAAATCTGACCACATAACCTAGACTAAGTTATTCTGTAAGGCCATGTATCTGGTTCTACCCAAGTTACAGAGGTTATACTAAATCTTTGGGAGACTTCTGTCATGGCAGTGTACGTAGTCATAGATAACCCATAATATTGAATTTTTAGTTTACAAATAGGGCTCAAAGCATGATAGTTAATATATAGCCAAATATTGTAGATTTGCAGTAAAATGGCACTATCAAGAGCCAAATTTTAAATAGTAGAGATTAAATTCATGCTTGTCTTCTCATTCTTGATTGACTTATCTAAATAAAGAATTTTGTATGTGTGCAATTTTTGCACTTGCAAAATTGCAAAGCTAAAATTGGAGCCCAGATGAGGCAGGCCTCTTACATATTTAGCCTTAAGGATTTAATGAAAATTTACTAAGTAAATAATACATATATGCAATTCATAAGCAAAATTCAAACTGATATAGATATATAGATGTATCAGTTTGAATTTTGCTTATGAATTTCAAGGTTTATAGGTTAATTTGACATGTTGCTCTGTGTAGGCACAATATGTGTAGTTATGGGTAGATGTCCAACTCCCAATTCCTTTGCTTTTATGGGATCAAGTTAGATATTTTAAATAATTTAACATCTCATTGCTTTATACATGACAGTTCTGAAAAAAAAGTTTAGGATCTCATAAACTGTAAATTTTCCTGTGATATTCAAACCAGTATAGATGAGATTGTCATGACACTTGGGAAACTGATGCATTTTTCTATATTAGTTCATGCTTCAGAGTTATATAACAGTATGAGTCTTTTTGGTCTATCATGTTACTGTGTGCTGCCTATCCCACTCCCTCCAGAGCTATATAAGAGGGATATCACTCCCCCAAAACGTTATATCTTTAATATTTTTTTCAATATTACTTTGGTATTTTTTCCCCACTGTGTCAAGTTATTTGTATTAGGGGTTTTCTGTCTGTTGTTTTTTTCTGACCTGATTTCAAAATCCTGAATTAGATGTTAAGGTTCTTTCTGTGGTAAAACAGACTCTCATAAACAAAGAGTAATGATTTTTCCTAAAGCATCTAAGAAGTAACTAGCCAGAGAGAGTGAGTTCTCTTCACATAAGGGGATATTCATTAATAATAAACTAATTCAGTAAATTGAGAAAATGTTAGTATTTTGAAGCGTTTCCATTGCAGTTTGAAGATCATAATTTTGTGTGGCATTTATGCATGCTTGGTTCAATATTGGTTTGCTTTTTAAATGATTTGTTGTACTCGAGACTTCAAATTCAACTAAGATTTGTTATTAAGAACCTATTGTTATTAAAGTACTTTTTTTAAAACTAGCCCTACATTTAAGATCAGAAACTCTGCCAGGATTGCAAATAGAGAAACAAAGGCTTTGTTTTAACTGTATGTGAAGTATATAGGAGTCAATGACAGTTAACTCCTCTAAAAAATAAAATAATCTGGTTCTTCAACTATAACATCTTTCATGAAAAAGTATGAACATTTTGGTTATCCAGTTTTTAATATGAGTTTACTGTAGCATTTTGAAAAAGTGCCAAAAGGAACTAATGACTTGGATCTTTTCACATTTAATAATAGATATTTTATGGAAATGTGTAGCATTTGAAAACAGTAGAAAAAATCAACTTCACGGTTCATTCAAAAAAATAAAAGCATTGGTTTTATACACCTTGTATGAAATTAAGCTTTTAATCCACTTGTAGACACCAGAAAAAAGATTAGATGATTTGATACACCTTTTCTTTAGTGATATTAAATTGTAGGCTCTTCTGAGCAGGGTCCTTCTTTTACTCTGGCCTGATGCCGTTTGTTCCCTTTGTGTTACAGTAAAGCAAACACTGTAAGCTAATCTTTCCAGAGTATGTCAGACATTGCACTGAACTTTGCATGGGAATACAGAGAATTAATAATTTAACAGTTTGAAGCAGTCTGTAAGTCTTCATAAGATGGACCCAAGAGGTGTGTCCAGACAAGTGCAGTCGTGCACTGTGTGGTGCTACAAATACATTTGCAGCACCACATACTGCACAGTCCAAGGTTCTCTGTGCTGCCCGAGTATGTGCTGCGCCAGGTTTTTTTCTGCAGGTTGTTTTGACCTGTGGACATCCAGAGGTCAAAAAAAATAATGGAAATAAGAAATGGAGCAATGCACGCTTGACAAATGCACGCGCTGCTAAAAGTGGAGCCGGCCTGCCCAGAGTCGCACTCTGCTGCCAGTCAGGCTCCGCATGGCAGAATCGCCACAACTGTAGCCCTAGGACACTCCCAGGACCCCAGATAAGGTTGCTAGCGCCCCAACCTCCTCTTCCCCACCCAGGGTAACTTGCAGCACACTAAAGCGTGTGTGCCTCGGGCATTCCTGGGAACAAGAAGTGGTGCAACATGTATCGCTGCTGCTTGTCCCCAGGGAACCAAACATCCACGCACATCTGGACGTACCCAAGCAGCGCATGGGTGACAACATAAAATGTGTCAACTGTATTATAATGATTTTGTTTAGCGCACAAAGTTTGTTGCAGGTGTAGTTGCCCCACTATTGTGATTTGTATAGAAAAATGATTCAATCTGCCTTCAGCAGCTTTCAGCATATTCCACAAGTTTGTTTACACTTTTATTTTTGTTTGAATTGTCTGGATGGGTACATGAGTTCTAGTTGGAGTAATTACTACATAAGGAAATCTGATCTTTTTTTGGAAAATTACAGACAAGAAGAGAAAATAAAATTTTGCATATAGAAAATATAACTACAATCACCACTGTTAATAATGCCAACTTCATTTCCACAAAATATATGTGTATGTAGGTTTGTAAAGTTAAATATAATCTTAAAAAGCCTTAATCTACATACAATTAGAATCCTTTTAAACATCTTAAAAGAAAATTCTGCCCTCATAAAGGTTAAATGCATTTAGTATTTGTGGTATAAGCATACATTTATTATCACGTTCCAGTGTTCAGTGTTTGTCTGACACTAAGGTGAAATAGCCAAGTCTTTTTAAAAGATGCTTTTGCAGTAAAGCCATCTGAATTTTTGTAAGTGAATTTAATCATTGGTTAACACGGGACAGCATTTAGTGTTTTACACGCATTATTGGAGTTTGCAGTTTTACAAGCAAGAGAATTGGTTTCTTAATCCAATAAACCATTCTTCTAATTACAGATGGCATGCATTAATTCTTCAGATCCATCATCTCCACAAATCCCTTTTATTATCTGGCTTCTCTTTTAAGAGTGAAAATGTCATTTTTTCCTCTTCTTTCTATACTCCTTCAAATTACATAAATCCAGCAATGCAGTTCTTCCCCTTTCATTCATAGCTGTTCTACAAAATTGAATTGTTTTAGTATGTCTAATAAATGCCACACAGTTTTCATCTTTAATCGTGCATTGTTTCCACCAGGTTAATTCAAGTTTTACTGCATGCTTTATCATGAATGTCCAAAAATATATTTTTATAAAGATAGGAAACACAGAAATGCTATTGGAATTTTAGAAAGTGAGTTAGTTGTCCTTTAACCAGAAGCAGTTTCATAGGTAATGAGGGAATTCAAGGATTCTATATCTCATTTGTAAGTCGATATATTTATACAGTGTGTGTGTGCGCGCACGCTCACAGAAAAGGAGTACATCTTGTATTTAGATTTTTTTTAAATTGAAACTTTGTCTTCTAATTCTTAAGACAATCCAGGAAAAAAAAATTCACATGGTGACAGTATGTAGTGAAAATAAAAATCTTTCTGAAATTGCTATATTTAGTTGGCAATAGTGTGACAGAGCAAATTTGGTAAAGAAATTGAAAGAGAGAACCTGGCAAGTGTCTGCTCAGGTGACTAAAATAGTTCTGATTTATTGTAGCATAACTAATCAACAGCTTGTCTTCTTGTCTGGTCAAGACTATTGGTCTTGAAAGTATATGCAAAAGTTGATGAAAGTACTTCCAGCCTTGAGGGTCTTGAAGTAGCAGGCTTTCAATCCCCAAATTTTACTATTCTTTTCTCACATTTAGTTGAATACTTTGGTGACTTATACACTGCCAAAAATGGAGATTATTGCTTTACACCACATTAAATTAGGTTCTAAGATGAACAGTGTATTTTTTGGCAACAGACCCGATTCAGGAAAGCATCCATTCATAGTAGATCCTGTTGAGGTTGGTATTCAGGTCAAGTACGTGCTTATGTGTTGACATGAACCTTGAACTCCATAACGTGGTGCTAGTCCTACTGAAAATGGCATCTTTTAGGGTAGGAATGTTCAACCCTCAGCCCACAGAGCCATGTCATCTGGCCCGAAGGGATCCCAAAGGTCCAAACTGTTTTTAGCAGAGGAGTGGTAACAACAATTGCCATTCCCCTGCTGCCAAATTTCCAGACCCTTGGGAAGCCTCACAGGCCACATACTACATTGGATCTGACAATGAAGGTGGCCCAGGGCCTGATTCAGGGAAACAGAGGCTGGCTAGAGATAGTGCAGGCCTTGATCCTGTAATTCAGGGCCATGGGAAGGCAGTTCAACACCCAATGCTAGCTCACAAGTCCTGATCTGGCCCCCAGGCTGGCCCCAAGCCTTTCACCCAGTCCACACCAGAAAAAGGTTGAGCACCACTGCTTCAGGTTTGTGTCTGTTTGCAACAATACAGTGTTATGTAGAAAAGTCTGAGCTAGCCCTGAACAAGCAGAATAATTGAACAGTATTTGGTCTATGTGCAATTCTGTCCAAATGCAACTCTGCTGCTCTGGTACCTAAATTTTGTTGAGTATCTTTATGTAGTACTGCATTGGGCTTTGTAGGCATACCCTTAGAGTCAGGTTGGAATTATAGCAGGCAGGGGCAAAAGGTATCAAGACCATATTGTTTTACAGTGTAATGTAGCATTTGTTTATGGCCCTGATGATTTTTCAGCATATTGGATTTAAAAAACTGTTGTTAGTTTCTCCATCTAGTCTTACTCTTTGTCACTGTACTAGAAGTGGCTATAGCAAGTCTTTGACACAAATTCAAAATTTTCATTCTTTGCTTGAGACTTCATTATAGTAAAAATAGAAGAGTATCATACAATTGTATGATCGCACAGACAGAAATAACTACAAGACAAATAAGTTGAGCCAAATTGGCATCCAAACTTTGGGGTTGGAAAAGTAGCAAAACCCCCAGAGTAGGCTGCCTTGCTCTGTCTCAACCCAAAGACTAAGCTGCTATGTCTGCTATAAGTACCTTTTTGGAAAGTGTTAGCGAAGGCTGCCTGTAATTTTCTCACTGTGTGAATGAATGTCATGGGTCTTGGGTGTCATCATCCCTGATATATCTCAATCACTAAATTCACTCAGATTTTTATTTTAAATGCACTGCAGTGTTTAGTGACTATTAGAAGGGGGAAAATATTTTCTACAATAATAATTAATCACTTGATAAACTTTTGGTACTGGTAGGAAGACCATATAATTTCTCCTAAAAACCAAATGTACAGAAACTAAGACATTGGATTCAAAGACTGGTTTGACTACTTTTCCTCATTTACCTTTTTTGTATAATGAAGTAGAAGGTGTGCATTCCTATGTCAAATTATCTATGGGGATTTGGAACAGTAAATTGTACTTTATCAAGACTCTGTGTGTGTGTGTGTGTGTGTGTGTGTGTGTGTGTGTGTGTGTG